TTGTAAGAGAAGTGGTTTATTTTCGCTCGGTTGCTCCTCCATTCTTTTTTCTCTTCTGTGCCAAGATCCACCAATTTTTTTTTCTCCCCCAATTCCAGCGACTTCATTCTTCTCCCTGTATAATGGTGGATTTTCTGTGGTGGATTTGTGGTGGGCTATTTTGAGCTCTGCACTGGCTCCTGCATGCACTGCTCTAATCCAATTGTAATAGCGTTAATTTCTTAAAGCTTTATTATTGAAATAGCTGAGACCTAATTTCCTGAGATCTGGTCGCCGTTGACGACCGCAGTAATCAGCTAATTCGAGTTATTCCAGGCCATTAAAGTTGCATGCTGGGATTTGTCATGGTCACTGAAGCAGCAGGGAGGTAGAGGACTGATGACATCTATGTTTGATGGAGAACCTCAGTGTCATTTTGTTTCAGTTTTAACAAAAGTTTTTTGTTGCGCTGTGTGTGTGTGTGTGTGTGTGTGTGTGTGTGTGTGTGTGTGTGTGTGTGTGACCCACAGGATGCCCCCTCAAAGGCATGTGAACGACACTATAAAGCTCTGGCGGTGTGTGTTTTATTCTTGTTCGGGTCCAGGTTCACATCAGTATTTTTACAATGCATGAACACTTTTATGAGTGGCAGTAGAATACTGATGTTCTCGTTAACTCTTGCTGTCGCCATGGTGTGTGTGTGTGTGTGTGTGTGTGTGTGTGTAAACTGACTGACTTTGGCTAAACGTCATTTCTGAGGTTTGTGGTCAGGGTTGTTGGTTAGATGTGAGTGGTGGTTAGGTTAAGGTTAGGAATAAGGTTTTGGTTTGGCTTTCGACAATGAAGGGAAGTCAATGCAAAGTCCTAATAAACATAGCTGAGCAAGTGTGTGAGTGGATTTGTGTGTTACTTCTAGTCACAGATTAGGCACTGGAGGAAAGATAATATGAGAGGTACAATTACACCACTACACAAACACACACACACACACACACACACACACACACACACACACACACACACACACAGCATAGCTACAGCTACACACATTGTCTTACATACAGACGACAGTGTCTGGACTCACAAACCCTCTTTTTGACGACTTGGTTGCCAGGAGACTTACCCTGAGTCTTTGAGAGTGAAGCATAATAAAAGAAAAGAATAGCGTGTGTGTGTGTGTGTGTGTGTGTGTGTGTGTGTGTGTGGCCTCTGCCACTGTCTGGAATACTTGGGGGCAGTAGTTAACTCTCTGTGTGCCTCGTCACTGACTTGGACAAACTTCTGGACACAAAGCTCGGGCTCTGGGAATCAGCTGAACCTCCTACGAACGACGGTGTATCTAGAGACAGAGGATTTGTTCGAAATGTGATACATTCAAAAAAACGACTTATTGCAGGAGCACAGGGACTCTGGGTCAATTTGCTGTGGACTGAAAGTTGGATGAACTTGGTAAGATTGAATATCATATTAACTGAGTGTGTGTTCCAAATATATATGTGGATTATATGATTTAAAACCTGCTTGAATAAAGCATTTCCCAGCCAGGAGTCTGTCACCGTGCAGTTCTAGCCTGGTGCTGCGGAGCTGGTCTTTTTGGACAGTTTGACTGCAGTGGGTGAAACTCTTTCCAACTCCAATAAAGACCAGAGAGAAATCCAGATTGCACCAGTTTCAGGTTCGGATCTCCAGGAAAAAGAGATACAACACTGGTAAGTGGGTTTTGTTTGGCAGCAGATATGACAGCACTATAATGTTTACACAGAATGTATGTACTGTATATGTTTTTTTTCTTGTAAAATGTAATTACATTACATGAACTCATTTGGCAGATGCTTTAATCCGAAGTGACGTACAACAGGGGGGCGACACAAAAGCTTCAGTACAGTAAGAGCTTAAAAGGCTGATTCTGTTCAATCAGGAGCCAAAATCACTGCTTGTTGGGAAATTTACATTGAAAGCAATGACATCAGCACTGAAAAACAATGCAATATACATCTTCATACGTCTGTTCCAGCGGCAATATTTATTACGCCTCAGCTACAAATACAGTATGGTCTCCTTTTTTGTGTGTTTTAAGGAACCGTGCCTGTGTAACCACATAAAGACTTCCACCAGCTGCCGGCCGCAAAACGAATCAGGATTGAAGTCATCACGTTCATAAACAAAACATGAACCGGGCGTCCCTACGGTTTCCACCATTCTTTTATTTATCACAGGAGCACAAACCAATCTGTCGCAGTCTACCACTCGTTTGTCAGGGATGTAAATTAAAAAAGGCGGATAAACTCATCATATCAAAATCACACTGCGGTTAATCGCCATTGAGAAAAAAATAACGGTTTCGGCAAAGCGTTTTATTTCCGCTTTGATTACACAACCTGTCATCTAAATCTCAGCTCAGCGTGACGCCACATCCAATGAGTTTGTCTCATAAATGCTTATGTCGAGCTGGAAATCAAAGCGAGGGTGCGTGCACGCTGTCCTCCGCTGCCCTTTGTAGAAACCTTTCATCACCAACTTTTCTCTGTTAGGGCTTTTTTTAAATCACGGTTGTTACGCCTGGCTCTGAGGCCGCAACAACACAGACAAGGCAGCGTGATGTAGCGAATTACAATATGCTTTATTGATTTAACATAAACGGAAATGAGCGATGGAGTGTGAAAGTGAGCGTCAGTAGTGTGTGAGGGTGTTTGAGTGTGATGTAGTATGTGTGGTGCATGTTGTCAGGTGCAGAACATAACAAAAGATGCAGCAGGATGGAGATCTCAGGGATGAGTGAGAGAGAGCAAGACAG